TGTGAAATTTTTAATGCCTTTGAGGCAGAGATATATACATTATATATGTGCGTGTGTGTGTGAATGTACGCATATTTTAAAGGAAAAAGAAAGGTGATCATCATATGATGAGAGGGGTTAGGTTGGTGATGCAATAAGGATATTTTTGGTGCGGATAAAAAACATATATAAATTAAGAAATGTATTTTATATGTTTTTCAATAAGTGAGCGTCACTAGCCGCTACAACAAAGTAATTTGTTTATAGTAGAATAAGAAGTCCCTCGAATGCTCTAAAATATTTACAACCCTAGTATATGTAAATAAGTATTGTACCCAAATAAAAATTGTACAGCTAGTTTGCATTATTCCACACAAGAAAAGCGTTTTAAAATAGGAGGTCTAGCAGTCTAACTAATGAGATTGCAGTTAATTAATTAATTTTGTAAATTTTTACAAACCCTCTCATTCCTTAATAAAATTTACATTCATATAAAAATGAGATATTTATTTAGATTTGGCTAGGTTTTCTATCTCTCGCATTGAGACTTGAAATTAGGGTAGATTGAGAAAGTGGCTTTCACCAAAGTAATAACTAATAAGGATGTGAATTACTTTATATGAACATCTAATTCTCTTTGATTCTCAAAAGATGTCACCACTTGTGTGCTCTTATTCTGACTTCTCAATTTCAATCTCTCTATCTCCCTCTCTCTCTTCGCAAAGCCCATTCACCCAAATAGGAAATATTGATAAATTTTCTCTCATTCTCTTGTCTCTGTACTAAATAGCCATTTCGTTGATCCTACACTCATATCCCAATCAACGGTCGCGATTAGCTCCCTCCCTCTCGATAGAGTCCAATACTGAATGTAAATTGTGTGTGAGACTCGAATGCTATATGTATAATTTGCGACGTGATTAAAGGTTTAAAAGGATCACATCAAATCAGTCGCATGGGAACACCTTCATCAAGATTTAGGTGTTATCTATGATTGTCGTCAACAAGAAAGACGTGTGTATCCTCGTCGTGACTCGTTATATATCATTTTCCATGACGAAATTTTCATAATTTATTTCAATGTTTACATCTACGTAAGTACTTTCATGTATATAAGTGTATATAGCAAAGCAAATTCGTAAAATACACGAAAGTTTTATGAGACTTCAAAAGAGGAAAATAGACGCTGCCATTTCTTGATTAGTGCTCCAATTAATCAACTTGAGTTATCTTATAATTAATTAATATATATATCAGGCTGTCTTTGCTGTAATGTGACACAAGTTTCCTATGTCATATGTCTCATCGCGAAAGCATTGTATATGCATTTACATGTATCTACATATACGAGAAGGATTTGTATTTTTTGCACATATGTTATGATTTGGTCTGCATAATAATCATGAAAATTGCGAATTGCGCATGCAGGCTGCAATCATGCATGATAGGGTTTCCTTCTTTGGTATTTATCAATCGTTCCTTGTATCTTATTTTTATTAAAGCCGCCCAACGGCCAACTACATATACAACAGGTACATCTCTTATACCTAAGTTTTGATCATTTGTTTAGGTCGCGTATAATGTATATATATATCCGCATTTGTACTAAAATGGTGTAATTATATTTTTGTCATGATCATGTGATATATAATTTTTTTTGCTAAATGGTTTAGATCGTGTGATATGGTCTATAAAAGAAAAATACAAATAAGCGAGATACATATAGAATTTTTGATCTAACATAATAGCATTCTATCATATACTAGTTTTGTGGAATAACAGTCGAAATTATTATCGTTTAGTTATAAGTACGCAGATTCTTTTCTTGCTATGGTTATAATGAAATTCAGATGTGGTTTAAAGTTGGGACTTGAGAGGGAAGCTCATAAACGTATATGCGCATCTACGAATTCTTCTTAATTTAATGGTTGTGACGATTATTAGCTATAAATCTGGAGATAGGTTTGAACATCGAGGAAAATGACCAGGTCTCCTGAATAACACAACTTTGGATGCAATTGATACACTAATAAATCATTTCTTCAGTCAATTATCACTAAACTAGCTTTATGATGTGGTTAAAACATCATGTGACAGCTCAAACGGCCCTCGTCCGTATATAAGTTATAAACTATAACTGTAAACCCTAACTAGATGAATCTAACGTAAATGTATATAGTACATATACACGTGAGTGGATGAAATAAATGTGTAACATTTTCCGAGGAAGATTGAATCATAAAATCTGACACGATCTCCATTATTTTCATCCAAATTATCGTCTATATAATAAAAGCATTCAATAACCATATTTATTTATAAAAGTTTATTTTTTGAACAATTGTGTTGTTTTTTTCTGAACGATATATACTACTAGTAATATATTTGATCAACTGTGTGTTACAATTCCCAAAGCCACACCCTCAATTCCTCAGAGTCCGGTTTTTTACAGCGACTTTTTTTTCCCTTTCTTCTTTCTGCATACACCGTGGAGAAGAACAAGCAAATAAAAGCTCAGTAGTGTATGTTTCTAAATTTGCGCACACATTGTAATGTAGTGATTTCACTTTATCAGTATCGAATTTCACCGGCTATGTTTGGTAGTGATAAATAATTATGAAACCACTAGAAAAATACATTTTTTTAATCTCCAAGTCACCGACTCATTTTTCCGAAAATAAAAATTCAATTTGGTGATCAAGTTATGAGAAGGAAAAGGGATAAACGAGAAAAAGAACCTGAAACAATTCGACTTCGGGATCAAAATCAAAACTACGTTTTTTCTGGTTTTAGAATCAAGACGACTATGTTAATACTTAAGAGACTATAAAACTCCGGTAGTTTCAAAATATTATTTATGTGGACGGTAAGTGGATTTTATTTTTTATGATTCTTTATGAAATTTTAACTTCTCTACAATGTCGGATTCATAAACTGCCTCATCGTAGTGGTATTTATTTGAGCTCACTCTGACATTCATCTTATGCTAAATAATTTGCTAAAATATACTTATACAAAAAAAACCTTTTCTTGACGTCCAACATTTTTGAAAAACGGCATATGTTTTTTTTTTCTCTCTCTCAAAAAGAAAACAGCATATATTGAAGCGTCGAAGTTTCACTTTTCAAATCAATAAGTTAGCGTTCAATATTTATTTAGACTTAATAACTCTCGTTTAGCAAAAAAAGAAAGAAAAGAATCACTTCACAATTTCTTAATATGTTTATATTTGATGCAACAAATTTGATTATACAAAAGGGATACCTACACGGCTCACGGCTGCTAAACCAACAAGAACAATAAATTTTGAAATCACTCCCAAGTTTCACTTTTGCCAGCTATGATGCAATCGTTAGTATTACTTAGCTATGTCGTCGATAAATGTTTTGGAAATATGACGAATGGTTAAACTAAAAAAAAAACTGTTTTATTTTCGCGAGAGGATCTAAAAGTCTTAAAAAGTGATTACAAGGCATGGGCAGATGCTGTGGAGAAAGTGAAGAAGTCTCCTGTTTGGTCCGAAAGTGTTGTGATATAGAAAGCTCTTTAATGAGTTTTTTCACTTTATTTGTTACTATTTCTCTTCTTCTTAAAGGAAATTCAATTAAATAGACGAAGTTAACTTCAATGGTTTTTTCATTTGCTTGGATTAATGTATTGTTAGTATCCATGCATACCAACTATAGTAAGTCACTACTGTTTAATTTCTTTTTTTTCCTCTGTTTTACATTTATTCTGTTTGGATTTGTTTTGATAGTATAATTATTTTTTAAACTCAGTAAAAAAATAATTTATGCACTGACCAACATTCTTCACCCGGCACCCATTGATCAACAAATTTATTTCAAGACCAACATTTTTAAATCAGTTTAACCAATGTAAATAAACTAGCACATTTTGATCACGAGACAGTAAAACAGTGGTCTATTAAAACTCAAATGAAAAAGTAAACAATCGCATACATTTTAAGTCCAGATAAAAAAAAAAAATTTCAAAACTCATGCGAAGAGAAACTAAACCAAAGATTAAAGATTGAACGCTCCAAGGTTAGATAATGGAGTCAAAACTTATCAAAGCTATTGAAATAGTTGGAAGTGAAAACTTATCAAAGCTATTGAAATGTTTAATAATCATTTATTATATAGAAGTTAATTCATCAAATCGTACGTTGGGTTGGAGATTTTCACTTGCAATATGTGGTTTATAAGTAGTCAATGCCAACAAAAAAACTAAAATGTAAGGAAACATGAATAAATATATTTATAAGATTTAAAACAAAGTACAAAAGAAAACTTATTCTAAACACAATTAACTGTTCGATAATTTGTTATTTGTGTCTTATCTGAACCCGCTCGGAATAAATTCAGAAAGAAAATCGGAGCCCACATGATCTTGTTTATTTCTGGCAGACCTTCGCTAATTACCTGAGGGCCTGAGGCTGTGTGTTGCTTAAAACTGGTAATTGGCAACTGACAAACATGCAACTGACATTTTTGTGGGCTAATATCAGCCCAAAGTATTATCATCATTCAAAATATGGGCCGGTCAAAACCTAATATTTTTTTAAAAAAATATTTTAAATACCAAATGCAATGTGCTGAAAGAAAGTTTCTGAAATAGAATAATGTTTGAAGATATGTAGTTATATGTTCATATCATTAAAGATGTCATTTCTGTAAAGATATCATTTGTGTATTTTTTTTTGTTTTTTCTGTAGTTTGAACACATAATATACAAAGATCTGTAACATTTATTATAAAATTAAATTATTCTATATTACAGTTTGGTATTGCTTAAATTTTAAATTATATAATTTAATATTTTTAAAAAGAAGGAATCCAAAACCGAAACTGCAGATCTTCAATCCGAAACTACACTTACCAACCTAAAACCAGATCGATAGAGCTTATCATCACTGCGACCGGAAACACTAAACCGATAAAAACCGGAGTCCAAACCGGACTTTCTTCCCTAATAGAACCGCAATTAAGTAAGGACACTCACAAAATTCCAATCTCTCTCTCTCCGTCTCTGCGCGCATGATCGCAATAGTGTTCCACTATGCACCGCCCGTGACTCTAATGGTCTGTGACTGTAATCCATTTCTCTCCATTTTATTTTTAATTTCCTATTTTTGCTTAATTCAATTTCCATCTACACACACATATATATATATATATATACACATCGGTCTCTAATGGCTTCTTCGAAACTACTCCATCATCCTCTTTCCTCCTCCGCTAAATCTCACCGCAGAAAATTTCCAATCCGCTGTTTCTGCCTCTTAATCATCACAATGTCCTCCATTCTCATTCTCCTCTTCTCTCTCTTCATCTTCTCTTCTCCCTCCTCCTCCCGTCACCACCACCACCACAATTCCCGCCAATTACCCTCCGACACTCCTCCGGCCAATCCCTCGCCGGTTCCCGCCGCTCAGATCCGCCTCGCCTGCAACGCCACTCGTTACCCAGACGAATGCGTCTCTTCCCTATCCGAGCCGGGTCGGGTTCCTCCGGATCCTAAACCATCTCAGATCATCCACTCAGCGATCTCCGTCTCGTTCCAAAACCTCAAAACCGCACAATCGAAAGTGAAGTCTATCCTAGACGCCTCCGTCGGGAATCTGAACCGTACCAACGCCGCCAACACGTGTCTCCAGCTCCTCTCTTACTCCGAGCACCGAACCCAATCGACGGATCAAACGTTGACACGTGGCAAAATCAAGGACGCTCGCGCCTGGATGAGCGCTGCTCTCGTGTACCAGTACGATTCATGGTCCGCGCTCAAATACGTCAACGACACGAAGCAAGTAGGCGAAACGATGTCGTTTCTCGATGGACTCATCCACCTCAGCAGTAACGCTCTTAGCATGATGGTATCTTACGATAACTTCGGAGACAACGTCGCGTCGTGGACCTACCCGGCAACCGAACGAGACGGTTTCTGGGACAAGACTGGGCCGGGTACAGGGCCCAGTTTGAGTTTTCCTTCCGGTTTAAAAGAAGACGTGACGGTGTGTAAAGACGGAAAATGCCGTTACAAGACGGTGCAGGAAGCGGTTGACGCGGCGCCGGAGGATAACGGAATGCGTAAGTTTGTTATAAAGATTAGCGAAGGAGTGTACGAGGAAACCGTTCGGGTTCCGTTTGAGAAGAAGAACGTCGTGTTCATCGGAGACGGTATGGGCAAAACGGTCATTACAGGCTCGTTGAACGCCGGGATGCCTGGAATCACCACTTACAACACTGCAACTGTCGGTGAGTCTTTATTATGAGTAAACGCCCTTTTAATGAGTAAACGCTCTTTAAAGCAACGTATGTTTTGGGGTTGAATATTATAAACGTTGAAAGTTCTTATTCTTATAGTATATTTTAAGATTTAAGTCGAGCTAGATAGATAAACATTTCTAATGTTGTCACTGAATCTAGATAGTTGATCAACAGAGTCAAAGAATCCAGGATTTTTCATTGAATACACATCGCAATTTATGTGCTAATTGAATAGGCCGTTTTGCATGATTTTGCCATTTCAAAATGGTATGATTAATGTGATGTTTTTGGTTTGATAGGAGTGGTAGGAGATGGATTCATGGCTCGTGATATGACGTTCCAGAACACGGCGGGACCAGACGCTCACCAAGCGGTGGCGTTTAGATCCGATAGCGATTTTTCTTTACTAGAGAACTGTGAGTTCCTTGGGAACCAAGACACTCTCTATGCCCATGGCCTTCGTCAGTTCTACAAAAGCTGCCGTATCCAAGGAAACGTTGACTTCATCTTTGGAAACTCAGCTTCTGTCTTCCAAGATTGCGAAATCCTAATCGCCCCGCGTCAAGTTAACCCTGAAAAGGGCGAGAAAAACGCTGTCACTGCCCAAGGAAGAGTCGACCCGTCACAGTCAACGGGATTCGTGTTCTTGAACTGTGTGATAAACGGAACAGAGGAGTACATGAAGCTGTATAAAGCCAACCCTAAGGTGCACAAGACCTTCTTGGGGAGGCCATGGAAAGATTACTCAAGGACCGTCTTTATAGGCTGCAATTTAGAGTCTTTGATCACTCCTGATGGATGGTTACCGTGGAGCGGCGATTTCGCTCTGAAGACGCTTTATTACGGTGAATCCAAGAATACGGGTCCGGGATCGGATAGGTCAAAGAGGGTTTCATGGAGCAGTGAGATACCAGACGAGCATGTTCATGTGTATTCCGTGGCTAACTTTATTCAGGCTGATGAATGGGGTTCCATGTCTGCTTGACTCTAGCTAAGATTTTAAAAAACGAATTAAAAGGAAAGCTTTATAAGAAGAAGACATTCTTCTCATTGTACTTTTAAGCTAAGAAAGTTTATAAACAAAAATCCATACTTTTCATTCATGTTATATCAATTGAAAGTTCAGATTGTTAGGACTAATTGAAGTAAAATAATGAAAACAACTTTACGGCTTATCATTGTGTGTAGCTATCAAAGTTTAGCGTGTTGGGCTATAATCATAAATGAGTATGGAGGAGGATCGCTCAAGTTGCGAGCTGGGAAGCGTATGATGCTTTTTGCTTGACGTTAAAGCAGAGTTTGTTGTAAGAAAACGAAACCCTCGAAAAAGTTTTCAACGAAGTGGACATCATCATCTCTCTGTTTTAGAGTTGACTGTAAAAGACAGGAGGTTGGAGAAAGTAGTAAAGGGCAGGTATAAAAAACCGTTAATTTCAAAGAAGAGTAGGTTTCAATTTTCAATTGTAAAACCAAATTTGGGGTTTTAGAGTTCTTTTAAAAGTGGTTCACCTAATGACATTTAAGTGGGTAGGAGTCCATGCATTAAGCACATAGCTCTACTGTTTTAGTAGATCATAGGGCCACACGTTAATCTGGACTCCTAACCTGATCTAGCGAAAGCAAGAGAAAGAGAGAAACCTCTCTACTTGTAGTTTAATTCGTAGGTAGATGGGCAACGAAAAGGAATCCGAACCTGTTGATGCTTTCAAGACTAGATTTTTAAATGTTCATAACCAACAAAATTTATTGTTTACCTCTTGATAACATATTATGGCAAATGCTTAATGATAGAGAAAGTAAACATTTGAAGCAAAAACAAGATATTTTGGTGGAGATTCAGTTTCCCACATTATAGCTCGGAATCAGAGCTTTTCTCCTCCTTAGGTGGAGCGAACTGCTTCAGGAGGCGGGATCTTGCCCAAGGGTCCAACGGCACTCGTTGTGGTGGTTGTGGTGTTGGTGGATTCGATTGCCTAAGCTCTTTTTCTCTGTCTATAAACCTGCCCACAAGATACGATTCCATTACTATACCAAAAAAAACTTCTAAAGACATCAAATCTTATTAACACAACTTATTTGAGCTATCACCGAATCATGAATGTAGCAGAAGAAAGAAAAGAAACTATATTCTTACTCGATATAGGCCATTGGCGCAGCATCGTTAACTCTTATGCGAGTACGTAGCATTCTTGTGTATCCACCAGCTCTATCTCTGTAACAAAATGATACTTATCCCAATGACTACTCAAAGCGCTTAGGTGATAACAGTTCAAATGAATGGCTAAAAAGGTTTCTGAAGATTCACTTGTATCGATATGCCAATTCTGTGAAGATCTTGTGAAGGACATCATCTCCTCTGACAAAACCAGCTGCTTTCCTTGACGCAGAGAGTGTGCCCTGATAAGTTTATATCAGTCATACGAAGTTATCGAGAACGTAATCACTTCAGCTGCAGAACAAACCAACTCATCCATAGCAATTGTAGGAAGTGAGAGGAACTTAGTATGGCTCAAATCTATATGTTTTGAACAGTTCATAACACACAAGCACTTTTTCAATCCAACAGATGCTTTCGCCAGTAGATATAGATAGATAACCGATAAGCCGAAATTACGAAACTCTGATGTCAACATTACAAAGACATCCCGAAACCAACGTACCTCTTTACCGAGTTGAATCATATTATCAGCAAGACGACGAACCTCTTTAGCCTGCAAAACGCAATGTTCCTTTAGCAAATATAAGCAAATCACTAAACACCATTTACACAAGCTTCACAGTGGATATCAAAAAACAGCCCAGTAATCGAATTTTGCTATATAAAAGTGTATCCTTTTCAGCAAAACTATCTGATGAAATTGAGTAACAGGCAGGCAGATTCGCAGGTTCTATAAACCCTAATTAAACCCAAGAATCCGGAAAATGTGGGAGAAATGGAATCAATACCTTTGTGACGGTGGTCTCTATACGTTCGTGCTTCACCAATTGAGACACCATTGTCCTGATAACAAGAGTGAAAAACCCAACACTTTGAAATCAAACGAGAAAGCATTTTCTATGGAAAAATAAAGTGCGAAGAGGAGAGATTGAAACCTGAGCATGTTCATACGGTGACCCGCATGCCGGCCGAGCTTCCTGAACTTGGTCATTTCTGCGTCGGAGAAGTTATCGGAGAGGAGAACCCTAAGGGACAAGAGAGGAGAGACGGTAAATGTGTACAGACTAACTTAGTGTCGGGTTGGGCTTTAGGCCCAAAGTACATATTTTCTTGTATTTGATTAAACAATCTTATATAATTAAACTTAAATTTGGCCTTTCTATATGATTGAATTCAAATTTAAGGTTACAAAAACAAGTTTCAGATAAGAAAAAGAAAAAAACAACAAGTTTCAGATATTTATTTTTTGGTTGTTCCAACTTCCAACCAATAGTATGATAAACTAAATAAATCTTATATGGCAACATCTTAAAAGATGTTGAAAAACTCCAAGAACATAGAAAAGAAGTTAAGATTTCACTTGAAACCTAACAAAAGTTTCTGCCAAAGAAGTTATAATTAGTCTATCACTAACTCCATAATCAAGAAGAATGCATAACCTCTTCAAAGGCCATACAGTTTAGCTCTACATTTCTAATTGGCTTGTAAATGGCAACAAAATAAAACCAATTGATCCAGAGACTCTGTAAAACTTGTTTAGGGGGTTGAAAGATCAGATGAAATTGTGAGTAGGATACTCATGCTCATAACCATTGTAGTCATAGTAGAGCCTTTCCCCTTTCGAAATATCGCGCGTTGCGACCAGAAGAACACGACATTCGCCATTTACGTTGTACCTCACGCACTTACAGTTCTGCTTCTTCTTGCCGAACCTGCAACCATAAGTGATGTGATGATCCAAAGCCGGAAAAAGATAATGTTGTCAGGAAACAAAAAGAAAAAAGGATGCTAAACTTGTTTGCTTACCGATTGTGATTGTTGATGCCACTGATGAAGCGAGATATGTTTCCATACTTGTCGGGGCAGATAACAAGAGTTTCCGATGGATCTTCAGGTAGGAGGAGAGTCATGATGCTGTCACAATCGTCATGTTCTCGGTTCTTTAAGTAATCAACATCCCCTGTATATTCAGCTATGAATGTTAAGTCCTTAATTGGACCGTCTGCTTCAACTGTGTAACTGTATTAAAACGGAAAGAAAGCATGTTTATAACTCAAACAAACTCTGTCATTAAAGGAAGGTATTGATTGAATGAATCGAGAAAAATACCCTTCAAGCGGATCGAATACCACAACAAGAGGAGGGCACTCTCCACGTCTGTACATAGCTCGACACTGTTCCAGAGTCTCCAAGTCTTCTTTCGAAAGCACCTGCAAAAACATAAACCGAAGAAAAACAACTAAGGGGAGTAACTTAAATGAGAGAGGTATTTGAAAAGGGATGAAAGATTGTCTCTTTCTCTTTCTTCTTTTTACCTGCATCCCACCTAGCTCGAACTTGGATTGATTTGCAGACCGAGGAGCCATTCCGGGAGCATAAGTTAAGTCGTCACTGTATTTGATACCCAATGCTGTTAAAGCAGACGCAAGTGTGCCCATTTGATTGAGCCTCTGCTCAGGATCTTCTGATGGAACCGAAGGTAATAGCTTTCTCTTTCTCTTCTTCACTGTCAAAGAGAAAGATCGTTTCCGATACTTTCTAGCCTCTTCTTCAAAACAAGAAATGAAGCCATTACAAAAACGGAAATTGCTCAGTTTCAAACACTTATTAATATTATTCGGTTAATCCTGAAGCATCTGTGTATAAGATGCGTTGGTTCTCATCAATGCTAATTAACCCTAAGCCAACAACAATGCTTAATGAGGTGCAACAGATTTAATCCAGAATTAAAGCTAAAGTTCAGCTCTTTCATATTCATCAAACTGTTAACCAAGTGAACCATCTCTTCCGATTCACCAAGTTTTAGACAATAACGATTATCACATCATGAAAGCAAATAACAAAATCGTACCTTGACTCAGTTCTGATTTCTCCGTTTGATAAAATTGCTTCTCAATCCGAAAGAAATGCAAAATATTCTTCTGAGAGAACCCTAAACATTTTACCCGGACAATAAAATAATCCCCAAAAAACAAAAAAAATTGAATAAAAGAACATACGAAAGTTGGAATTTTGACAGAAATTTTTCAAGCGAAAAAAAATCCCTACTTCGGACAGGTCGTTGGTCGGAACAATCGACACAGAGCCATGGTCCAATGGGGACACGAACCACGATCGGTCGAAGGCATTTCATGTGAAACCCTCTATCGCATTTGTCGCAGAGAAGAAGCTCGTCGTCTCTTTCTCCGGAGTCGCATTCCTCGCAGGTGACGTCACCGTAGCTGTCGTCTTGTTCCTGTTCAACCACAGGCACAGATTTCGCCAGTATATCGGCGATTGATCTCATCCTCCTCGGTGGAGATTCGGAGGAAGGTCGTCTCGCTGGAGCCTTCGTTCTTCGCCTCGAGGAGACGATACGGGCAGGAGACGCCGTTGGGGGTGAGGCGTTCCACGTGGCCATGACGGCTGACGACGGAGAGTCGCCGGAGAAGGAAGAGCTGATTTTGATTGGTCGCGGCTATTGTGCACCGCCTGTGGGCATGGAAACTGATGTGCGCATCACCTGGAGTGGTAATTTTGGGTTCTTCCTTTGGATTTTTAACCTTTGACAAATTCAAAATTACTGGTATGCAGGTTCTGATTGTCTTAAAAAGTTATAAACTTGTAAGAGATTAAATTACAATGACTAGATCTTCTTCTTCTTCTTTTTTATACTAAATCTTAAAATTTATTTTGAGTGCTGATAAAACAAATAAATTTTTAAATATAAAAAAACTTTGTTGACTACTTGTATAAATTTAATTAATGCACAAATTCATATAAACAGAATGTCGAAAAGTTTTAAACAATGTATGAAGAAAATGTACATTTCATACTTTGTTAAAAATGAGTATCTGCAATTTTAAATACTTACTTAAAAACGATATATTTATGTACAATTTTCCACGCTTTTCACTTACTAATTTTATCAACAAACTTGCTAAAAAATGATATATTCGTGTATAATTTCCCGCGCTTTTCACTTATTAATTTTATCAACAAAAGATAATTATATTTTATAAAATTTAAAATTCTATTTTAAGTATTTTCCAAAAAAAACTTATACATGCAAATACAAATGCATAAACAACCTTTCAACTAAAATAGAT